GGCCCGGGCGTCGCCGGTGCGGGGAGCCGCCGCACCCGGGCGGGGGTGGGCACCTTCCCAAAACCCGCACCAGGCAAAAAAAAAAACCCCAAACAAACCCAAAAGTGTCGGGGAAGGCTCGCAGAGGTGGCACAGGCGCGTTCAGAGAGGAACTCGCGGAGAGCAGTTGGCAGGCAGCTTTGCTAGGGGAGAGCTGAGCTGTGTTTCCCAAAGCGTGGCCCAGTAACGACTTTAATTATGCTCTTAGGAAAGCGCCGATTAAAAAATGGAAAAAAACGCGGCTCTCCAGCCTGGCGTTGCTGCTGCTGCCAAAGGCCACGGCGGCCGCACGGACGGGAGCCATTCTGTGAGTAGTGGTGGCCCTTCGGGAGCCATGGGTGCGCACAGCCACAGCCTTGGCCGAGGTAACGCTCTCCTAAGTCTCTAATTTCCAAGAAATGCTAGTATCCACTTTATATTAATTAGTGGACTCTCTTTAGTTTTCTGGTTTTGCATATCTGCATTTTTTGGTGGTGGGGTTTGTTGGGTGGGTGTTTTTTGATTTTTTTTTTTTCCCAGTGGCCTGCAGGTGGGTGAAGGATGGAATGAAGTGTATGGGAGCACCCGTTGGAGGCAGCGGGGAGAAAGCTGCTAAGGAATTGGGAGAAATACCGAGGTTTCACAAAACGAGGTTGTGAGTCAGTGGGATGGACGCTAGCACTGAGAAGTCAGGGGTTAAAGGTTCTCAAGTATTTCTGTAGGTCCACCCGTGGCTTGATGCAAGGAAGTGTCTTTAGAACCTTGTGTTCGGAAAGCCGCTTTCCCCAGTCCTTTGTATTGGCAGTAAAATGGAATCACCACTGTAGCTGAGGTGATCATGAACGTGGAGAAGTGATGTTAGGAGAGGATGTGCAATGATCCCAGAGTCTTTGAATGTAACGTAGCAACTGTTAAGAGTCAGCAGGGTATGAGCAGCCAGGCATCCACAGACCACAAGCAAATGCTACATAGGCAGAATACAAAGTAACAATCAGGATAAACAGGCAGATTTTTTTTAAAAAGTGACTTTTTTTTTTTTAAAGTACGTGAAACAAAGACTGATGGTGACATTTTTGTTGTTTCTTCACAGCCTAGATGAAGGGACGGAGTGAGATGCACAGCTGGTAAGTATGGCTTAGAAACAAGTAAGATTCTTAAAAAATTTTGAAGTAAAATGTGCTAATTTTCTTCCTTGTTTCTCTCCCTCCACCTCTTTTTGTCTTTCAGTTTCTTCCCTGTTCTAGGCTTGGCACTGTCATTGACCTCTTTGGTGTGCCCATAGGCAATTTCCTGTCCCTTCGCTTTCCCATCTAAAATGGTTTCCTGCATCCTACAGGTAAATTTTGATTAACTCAGGCGAAAGGGCCTCCTGCCTTTGGAAAGAGTTTGAAGAAATCTTGCCTGAATGTTTCTGGGCGTTGTTCTGCTTCTAGCTGCTCAGCATGTCTTGGCTGCTCCAGCTCTGGACGCTCTGACCATGAGCAGCAATTCCTCCCTCAGCAATGTGAAGGGCCTGAGGAACCTCACCACGCAGGAAGACGGGGCGGTCAGAGTCACACAGTCCATTGCTATAATCGTCATTGCTATTTTCATCTGTTTGGGCAACCTGGTGATTGTCGTCACCCTCTATCGGAAGTCTTACCTTCTCACATTGAGCAACAAGTTTGTGTTCAGCCTGACCCTCTCCAACTTTCTACTCTCTGTACTGGTGCTACCTTTTGTTGTCACCAGCTCCATCAGGCGGGAATGGATCTTCGGAGTCGTTTGGTGCAATTTCTCAGCCCTGCTCTACATGCTGATCAGCTCAGCCAGCATGCTTACTCTGGGACTTATAGCTATAGACCGGTAAGCAGCTCTTTTCTAATGAATGGTAATGAATTGCCTAGTTTCAGAGTGACTCGCATAGAGCTGAGAAGCATCCCAGTGGATAATGGTGCATAGCGTTGTAATGCCACTTTTCCTTCAGCCCCTTGTGAAATTTTGATACAGAACAGAAGAAAGTGATGTCATCAATAATGCAAAATGTGGACATGCATCTAGAGGTTTTTTAAGCTATTGATGGTATAATAACATAGTGCTTGAGAAACAAGAAGTAATGACTTAAAGTTCCAGATATACCCTAAACATACACTGACATGTAGGGACAGATTTAATAGCTGCATGTGTGCTTTCAGCCAAGTTTTACAATCTTGCCTGCAAAGATACTTATTTTTATGTGTAGTTATTTTTATAAACAGGGTCCCTGAGCCTGCTTCAGAGGTTTGGAGAAAAGAGCTTGTTCTACAAAGAGGACTAGCTATCATCATTGAAATATGTTCTTTTTTTTTATTGTACATCTTTAGTGCTCCTATTGGCCCTTTCCTTTCTTGTCTGCCAGGTACTATGCTGTCCTGTACCCAATGGTTTACCCGATGAAGATAACAGGCAACAGAGCAGTGGTAGCCCTTGTGTATGTGTGGCTACATTCCCTTATTGGCTGCCTCCCTCCTCTCTTCGGCTGGTCATCTTTGGAGTTTGACCAATTCAAGTGGATGTGTGTGGTGGCCTGGCATAAAGAAGTTGGTTACACTGCCTTTTGGCAGATCTGGTGCGCATTGCTGCCTTTTGTGGTCATGATGATCTGCTATGGATTTATATTCCGCGTGGCAAGGATTAAGGCCCGCAAAATCCACTGTGGTAGCGTCGTCATTGTGGAGGAGGACTCCCAGAGGAACGGGAGAAAGAACTCCAGCACCTCCACGTCCTCTTCTGGCAGCCGAAGGAACGCTTTCCAAGGGGTTGTCTACTCAGCCAACCAGTGCAAAGCTTTCATAACCATCTTGGTTGTCATCGGTGCTTTTGTGATTACGTGGGGGCCTTACATGGTAGTAATTACATCAGAGGCACTTTGGGGAAAAAACAGTATTTCCCCTGCCTTGGAGACATTAGCTACCTGGTTGTCCTTTTCCAGTGCCATTTGCCATCCACTAATTTATGGACTATGGAACAAGACGGTGCGCAAGGAACTACTAGGAATGTGCTTTGGGGATCGTTACTACCGTGAGTCGTTTGTTCAGCGGCATAGGACGTCGAGGTTATTCAGCATTTCCAATAGGATCACAGGTAAGATGTGTGGCCACAAAAATCACTGCTCCTTAATACCAGTAAGTAACGCTTAATGTCTGTCTGTACTCTGCACATCTCAGGGGTCTGTAAACAAAGTGATATGTTTCTGGAGGTTTCAGCAGTCTTTTGCTCAGGTTGTCATAGACACTTGAAAGGAGAACATTTTTTTGTGGCAGTTAACCTCTTTCTCCTACTCTAGTAAAATTTGATACAGTGATGAGGTTAATAAAAATAATTTGTTTTCTTCTGTCAAGCTTTTCCTTTCATGTGCCTACCATTTTGTGTTATCCAGGTTAAAGCACTACCAATAGTAGCACTTGTTCTTTGATTCCTGGCTTTATGCTACAACTCTTTGAGATTCACTGAAGTTACACTGATCTTACTATTTCTATAAATTCAGTTTTTAGCCTTAACAGTTGAAGAAAAGGTCATAAACAAAGTAAAACTATGTAAAAGAGTAAAACTATTTGATGTCTCCCCAAGTTGAAGGCTGAGAGCTTCAGTTGCTCAGTTTGGTGGGTTTTGTTTGGGGTGGGTTTTGGGTGGGTTTTTTTTGTTTTTTTTTTTAAAGTAGAAATGCAATGAAATTCTGATTTTTGATCACTTTCCTGGTCCTGTTGAGAAGCTTCCAAAAATAGGACACTTTCATGGAGTTCCTCAGGACTTTTCATGCAGAGCCAGGAACTGAAGTTATTTAATTGCGAAGGAAGATCTAAAATGCAGAAGAAAGGGGAGAGAGCAGCAAGGCATCCGTTGTCTTTTCTCCAACCTGGAATCCCTGGAAGAGACTCCATCTAAATGACAGTTCTGCAGCTGCAGCCACATCACAAACTGCAAGAGCTCTCTAGCTCTTTTTGCTTTGGGAAATCTGTATCCAGGAGATGCTATGGATGAATACATTGGGAACTGAAGTGGGAGGGAAAAGACAAGAAATTTCTTTCTCCTTCCAAGTGATAAGAAGCTGACAGCTTCAAATTTGTCAGGTGGCTGATAGGGAGGGAAAAACCAACCAAGCAAAAACCAACAAAATCTTTAAGCAGGATCGCAAGACAGCAACAAAGACAGGCATCTTGGTGCCCCAACCTTGCTCATGAGCTTTCTGCCACACTAATGTCACAGCTGCTGGTGGCTACCAGGTTATTCCCTGACTGGAAGGTGCCTGGCAAATATCCCCATCTGTCTGAGTGCCTATGCTCTGTGTTCAGCCTGACTGGCTGACAAAACACATGCAATTGCAAAAAGAGAGGGAGGGAAATGCTGCAGGTAGAAAGGAGACTTGCCATATGGAAAGACTCCGGCGATAACTGAAAGCTGTTGACTGGATTGAAAGTCCAGATGCTGTGCGCTCTGGATCAGCAGGGTGAGTTTTGTACATAGAATGGTAAATAAGGCAGTAGAGCAGGAAGAGTTTTTTACTGTTGTCAACCCCTTAAACATGCATTGTGTAATGAGAATTAAACTGTCTTACAGATTTGGGGCTATCTCCTCATCTCACTGCCCTCATGGCAGGTGGGCGGCCATTAGGAAACAGCAGCAGCACAGGAGACACAGGTTTCAGCTGCTCACAGGATTCAGGTAATTAAAAGCGTCTTGCTTTCTTTTCTTGGGCAGAAGTTTGCACTTGTAACTTGGCAGAACTCTCTGGGATAGTCTGTATTTACACATAGATGTCTTTTGGTGGATGGATGACATGAAGCATCTGCTCCAGCTGTTACAACAAAACTGCTGCGGTTGCTTTTTACCTTCCTCGCTTTCAATATATTTCCTTGCAAAATACCGTTTACTCTAAGGAATGATGACCCTCCCTTGATGATGTGTCCTGGGAACAGGACTCGCTGCTTTTGTGCCCTTCTCCTTTAGCTTCTATCCTTCTTCAGGGACTTTCCCTGTATCCACAAGGAACAGAGCAACCAAGTGCTGTTGAGAATGTGCCTCTCTGTTTCCTCATCTGTAAGAGACCTTGTTCATTCTGCAGTGTAAACATAAGCACTTAGGACAATTTCAGCGTAAGATCTCTCAGCTGAACATGGTTTGGAAAAGAGAAAGAGTTCTGTTGGTAATTTTCTATCCAGAACTGTAGCTAGATTTTTCTGGCAGTTAATTCAGCTACCACTCCTTAACTGCACTCCAGTTATTTTAAAGAGTGTTTCTGCTCTAGAGACACCAGAGGGTGATCTTCTGACATGTGCTTGGAGTTAGAGGTTTGTTTCTTACTTTAGTAAAGGAAGTCTATGGAGCTGGGATTTATTTTGGTAGTTGTTTTACTCTGGTAGTTTTATACCTGCTGTGGGTAATCTGCAGTTGTGTGAGATGAAGGAGACTAGCATCCTGGTAAACCTGCCTCAGTTAAGAGGATGTTGTGTTATCATCTTTTGAGGAATGGCACTGAGCAGTTTAAACAAATGAACAAACCAAATACATACCTAATGCTGGTGGAAGTGCCACTGTTTGTTTTGGGGGGGGGTTACGGTCTGTAGCCTGGGAATGGATACACAGCAATCACCCTTGTGAAATACTGTTTCACTGGATGCCTCTACTGTGAGGAACTAAAGACCAGGAACTCTGGTCTCTCTTCAATGCTGCCTGCTGCAGGACATGATCGTGTGGCCTGTGATGCAGTTGCGACTTTATCTGCCCTGGTAAACAGAAGCTGGGCTTTTCATGTTGTGAAAAACAGATGAAATAGTAGGAGAGGAAAAAATCCAAGTGGTACCAGCTGTGTACAAAATCCTGAAGTGATAGACCAGAGTCCTAATTACTAGAAATGCTGCCTTGATATCAGTTATTCCAAGGACAAAGATCTACCCTGTAAGAATAACAGGTTAGTCTCTTCACTAGCCCTTTTTGGAAAAAAAAAAAATAAAAAAAAATGCACTGAACTAGAGCATTTGAAAAAACACACTAAAACTCTGCTCCATGGAAGAAAGTATCTCTCTCTTCCTAGTGCCACCCTTCCATTGCACTGTTAAAGGAGAAGCTGCTGCCTGAGTGTTCACACACCATGGAAGGAGTCTCACACAGCCTGAGCCTTTAACTGCTAGGACCAGGGTCCCTTCGCAGCAGGCAACCCCAGTGGGCCAACAGGTGCCCCTCTTGACTCCTCACACACACACACACACTCTTGGGTGTGCTCCCTCCTTCTTCAGGCTCAACCCTAGGCAGCAGCAGAGTCTTGAGCGTCAGATTTTATAAACATAAGTAATTTAATGGAAAGGTATAGCAGCAAGGTCAGCCTGGGCTTGGGTGCCTCTGAAAAGGGAGGGACCTCGAACAAAGAAATCCCTGGGTAATTATCCCCTTGCGATCTACACACCCACCCTTCACACAATGTTCATGTGTCTTTTAGTTCAATGGTGATTTTTGGTCTGTGGTCTTCTAACACCGTATTGGATTTTTTTTCTGTGTCCAGGCAGGCAGGCTGTTGACTGCTCTTATCAGGTTGATGTGCAGTCTCTGCTGATGGTTGTAGCCACCTTATCTTCTGGTTGGTGCATCTTGTGCACCTGCGCTTGCTGGCAGAACATGGAGAACTGAGAAGTCCCAGACTTAGGGGAAATGCTGCCCAAAACCCAGTGTATTGTCAACATTTCTTATACTAAAAGATTAACCACAGCACGGTACCAGCTGCTAGGAAAATTACTAAGAAAATTAACTCTATTGCGACCTAAAGGCTTCAGCAAATCTGGCTACTCATGCTAAGCAAACAGCATAAATCACACCATATTGTTACCTGTAAAAGAGGTCTAAGTCACAATTCTCCCGATACACAAAGACTATGTTTAGAGAGGAGACATTGCTTTATTCTGGCCAGGGTGCATGGTGGAATATTTCCACAAATCATGCACGCCCCATGCTGGTTTCCTCGTTATATATATACACAAAAGTTACAATGTAGCACCTTCCCAGTTACAATGATTGGTTAGTAATTTACATATAATATTTGCTGTGTATAATATTTTGCACACTTCAGTCACTGTGCCTGCACAAGGGAAGGGTCTCCACCTGGGCAAGGGTTGTCTTGACTTATGGGCGTGATTTTTTTTAGTATTATAATGAAGGTAGTTCAGCTTTCAAAACATGGTAGATTAGTAGCATCTTCAAGGTTCATATGCTCGTCTGCTCCAGGATGTTTTACTTCAAAGAATGACAACAGTACTTGCTTTCCTTGATTAGTTGTTCTTTCTCATACGACTCAATGATAGAATCTTCATTATCCATGAGAACGTCTCAAAAAGTTCCTCTATTAATTAGCCCAGATACTTGTGAAGAAACATTCCCAAGACCAACTATCTTGCCAAGTACATAACAAAATGGTCGTATCCAAGACCCTGTATCAGAAGTTCAGCTAATGCCAATAGCTAACAGGCCTAACTAACTTCAATGCTAACAAAACCGGCTAAAATTTTAACTGTAAGACAATAATATAACCCTAAGTATTTTTTTCTAATTAAAACTTAATTATGTAAGCTAAACAACTAATATCTCCCAATGTCACACTGTGTTTCTGAGGTGGATTCTGTACCATTGGAGATCAGTAAGAGTCTACTGTTTTCAGTAGACAGCCTCAAACCCAGCTGATTCACAGAACAGCACAGAAAGTTGTTAGCTTATTTGTGACTGTGCATTAGGGCAGCAGCTCATTCTCTTTCTTGTGTGCCGGAGGGAGGTGTATGACAGAACACACAAGTTTCACCTTTAAAAGTTTATCACTTTTCTATATCACAATGAATTGTCAGCAAAGAGTAGACCTACGGAGCAGTATGTTGTCTAGAGCTACACCCCCAGCTATGTCTTTGTCTCACTTTCTGTAAAATGGGTGCTGGAACACCTCCTTATTGCAAAAAGCATAAATTTGGGGATCAAAACCAGTCAAGTGGGTGAAGAGAGACGTGAAGCCACCATCTGGAGGAGTTGCGAAACCTGCGAAGGCTCTTTGTCCTAGGCCACCATAGGAGTAAATGGACTGAAAGTGAAGTGTCACGTATTGAGTGTGTACAAGCTGTGCCTTCCAACAGCAGCTTCCCCGAGGACTGCTCACTCAGCACTGTCCCAGCATCTCCCCAAAATGCTTGTTCTGCTTCTGCCTTACACAGAGAGACCAGTATTGCCAGCGAGGACTAGGCTGCAGTCTTGCCCTTTGCGTGGAAGTATTGCAGAGGTGCCTAGATGAATTTCCTTGTGCTTGTAAACTCTATTTTATATTGGAAAGGTGCAAAGCAAATGCAGGGAGGTGAAATAAAAAAAAAGTACTCCTAAACTGAAAAAAAATTACTTATCGGACAAAAATAATTCCTAACCAGCAAAGGATTTTTCCCCATTAAAATACACTCCAGGAAAGTCAAAATAGGTTATGAGAGACAAACTAAATTGAACAGAAAAAATCCCCAGTTCAGATTTCCATCCAGGTCTGATTACAAGCATGACGTTTGGCAGTTATGGTTGTCTGCCTCTCAGGTAGCCATTGTTAGCCTCTCATCTTCATCAGGAAATGGGGGAAATTGCCCTCAACTTCACCCTTTATTTACTGAAGGTAAGGTTTCACCTTTGTCTGCTGTCCTATTAACATTATAAGCTCTGCAGCTGGGTATTTTGGAGCTGCTTGAGATTTTAGATGGCTTATGAGAAAAGATTTCCAAATCCTTTAAATGAAAACTCTGACCTCATTCTTTTTCTGTGCAGTGCTTAATTCAACCTGAAATTTACTCACAAAAGTTGGGTTTAGACATCTTTTGAAGGAACTGCTATAGAATGAATTTTTTTTGCCACTGCTTAAATATTGTATCCCAGTGCTAGCCTGTTTTGCTTGAGAGCTCTTGCTTCGTTTCAGGAACAGACGCAATGCTTCTTGAAGATTATAGCTCAGATGGCCCTCATGCCCCACACTGCATCTGTCCCCCTCGAAGAAGGAGTTCAGTGACGTTTGAAGATGAAGTAGAGCAAATTAAAGGTGGGTTTGGGGGTAAGTATGGAAATGCTCAGAATCAACTATATTGCGTGCTCAGGAAGCCTTCCAAGACCTTCAGAACTGCCTTAAAACTTATCTGTCCACTGTTCGCCTTGACATACCTGACCATTCATACAGGTACAACAGAAAGTAAGATCAGGTGTTTCTTCCAGTTCTCAAGTAGCAACAGACAAGGACGAGAGTCAGAAGCTGGGATTCCCTACATAATGTCACAGCTGCTGGTGGCTACCAGGTTATTCCCTGACTGGAAGGTGCCTGGCAAATATCCCCATCTGTCTGAGTGCCTATGCTCTGTGTTCAGCCTGACTGGCTGACAAAACACATGCAATTGCAAAAAGAGAGGGAGGGAAATGCTGCAGGTAGAAAGGAGACTTGCCATATGGAAAGACTCCGGCGATAACTGAAAGCTGTTGACTGGATTGAAAGTCCAGATGCTGTGCGCTCTGGATCAGCAGGGTGAGTTTTGTACATAGAATGGTAAATAAGGCAGTAGAGCAGGAAGAGTTTTTTACTGTTGTCAACCCCTTAAACATGCATTGTGTAATGAGAATTAAACTGTCTTACAGATTTGGGGCTATCTCCTCATCTCACTGCCCTCATGGCAGGTGGGCGGCCATTAGGAAACAGCAGCAGCACAGGAGACACAGGTTTCAGCTGCTCACAGGATTCAGGTAATTAAAAGCGTCTTGCTTTCTTTTCTTGGGCAGAAGTTTGCACTTGTAACTTGGCAGAACTCTCTGGGATAGTCTGTATTTACACATAGATGTCTTTTGGTGGATGGATGACATGAAGCATCTGCTCCAGCTGTTACAACAAAACTGCTGCGGTTGCTTTTTACCTTCCTCGCTTTCAATATATTTCCTTGCAAAATACCGTTTACTCTAAGGAATGATGACCCTCCCTTGATGATGTGTCCTGGGAACAGGACTCGCTGCTTTTGTGCCCTTCTCCTTTAGCTTCTATCCTTCTTCAGGGACTTTCCCTGTATCCACAAGGAACAGAGCAACCAAGTGCTGTTGAGAATGTGCCTCTCTGTTTCCTCATCTGTAAGAGACCTTGTTCATTCTGCAGTGTAAACATAAGCACTTAGGACAATTTCAGCGTAAGATCTCTCAGCTGAACATGGTTTGGAAAAGAGAAAGAGTTCTGTTGGTAATTTTCTATCCAGAACTGTAGCTAGATTTTTCTGGCAGTTAATTCAGCTACCACTCCTTAACTGCACTCCAGTTATTTTAAAGAGTGTTTCTGCTCTAGAGACACCAGAGGGTGATCTTCTGACATGTGCTTGGAGTTAGAGGTTTGTTTCTTACTTTAGTAAAGGAAGTCTATGGAGCTGGGATTTATTTTGGTAGTTGTTTTACTCTGGTAGTTTTATACCTGCTGTGGGTAATCTGCAGTTGTGTGAGATGAAGGAGACTAGCATCCTGGTAAACCTGCCTCAGTTAAGAGGATGTTGTGTTATCATCTTTTGAGGAATGGCACTGAGCAGTTTAAACAAATGAACAAACCAAATACATACCTAATGCTGGTGGAAGTGCCACTGTTTGTTTTGGGGGGGGGTTACGGTCTGTAGCCTGGGAATGGATACACAGCAATCACCCTTGTGAAATACTGTTTCACTGGATGCCTCTACTGTGAGGAACTAAAGACCAGGAACTCTGGTCTCTCTTCAATGCTGCCTGCTGCAGGACATGATCGTGTGGCCTGTGATGCAGTTGCGACTTTATCTGCCCTGGTAAACAGAAGCTGGGCTTTTCATGTTGTGAAAAACAGATGAAATAGTAGGAGAGGAAAAAATCCAAGTGGTACCAGCTGTGTACAAAATCCTGAAGTGATAGACCAGAGTCCTAATTACTAGAAATGCTGCCTTGATATCAGTTATTCCAAGGACAAAGATCTACCCTGTAAGAATAACAGGTTAGTCTCTTCACTAGCCCTTTTTGGAAAAAAAAAAAATAAAAAAAAATGCACTGAACTAGAGCATTTGAAAAAACACACTAAAACTCTGCTCCATGGAAGAAAGTATCTCTCTCTTCCTAGTGCCACCCTTCCATTGCACTGTTAAAGGAGAAGCTGCTGCCTGAGTGTTCACACACCATGGAAGGAGTCTCACACAGCCTGAGCCTTTAACTGCTAGGACCAGGGTCCCTTCGCAGCAGGCAACCCCAGTGGGCCAACAGGTGCCCCTCTTGACTCCTCACACACACACACACACTCTTGGGTGTGCTCCCTCCTTCTTCAGGCTCAACCCTAGGCAGCAGCAGAGTCTTGAGCGTCAGATTTTATAAACATAAGTAATTTAATGGAAAGGTATAGCAGCAAGGTCAGCCTGGGCTTGGGTGCCTCTGAAAAGGGAGGGACCTCGAACAAAGAAATCCCTGGGTAATTATCCCCTTGCGATCTACACACCCACCCTTCACACAATGTTCATGTGTCTTTTAGTTCAATGGTGATTTTTGGTCTGTGGTCTTCTAACACCGTATTGGATTTTTTTTCTGTGTCCAGGCAGGCAGGCTGTTGACTGCTCTTATCAGGTTGATGTGCAGTCTCTGCTGATGGTTGTAGCCACCTTATCTTCTGGTTGGTGCATCTTGTGCACCTGCGCTTGCTGGCAGAACATGGAGAACTGAGAAGTCCCAGACTTAGGGGAAATGCTGCCCAAAACCCAGTGTATTGTCAACATTTCTTATACTAAAAGACTAACCACAGCACTGTACCAGCTGCTAGGAAAATTACTAAGAAAATTAACTCTATTGCGACCTAAAGGCTTCAGCAAATCTGGCTACTCATGCTAAGCAAACAGCATAAATCACACCATATTGTTACCTGTAAAAGAGGTCTAAGTCACAATTCTCCCGATACACAAAGACTATGTTTAGAGAGGAGACATTGCTTTATTCTGGCCAGGGTGCATGGTGGAATATTTCCACAAATCATGCACGCCCCATGCTGGTTTCCTCGTTATATATATACACAAAAGTTACAATGTAGCACCTTCCCAGTTACAATGATTGGTTAGTAATTTACATATAATATTTGCTGTGTATAATATTTTGCACACTTCAGTCACTGTGCCTGCACAAGGGAAGGGTCTCCACCTGGGCAAGGGTTGTCTTGACTTATGGGCGTGATTTTTTTTAGTATTATAATGAAGGTAGTTCAGCTTTCAAAACATGGTAGATTAGTAGCATCTTCAAGGTTCATATGCTCGTCTGCTCCAGGATGTTTTACTTCAAAGAATGACAACAGTACTTGCTTTCCTTGATTAGTTGTTCTTTCTCATACGACTCAATGATAGAATCTTCATTATCCATGAGAACGTCTCAAAAAGTTCCTCTATTAATTAGCCCAGATACTTGTGAAGAAACATTCCCAAGACCAACTATCTTGCCAAGTACATAACAAAATGGTCGTATCCAAGACCCTGTATCAGAAGTTCAGCTAATGCCAATAGCTAACAGGCCTAACTAACTTCAATGCTAACAAAACCGGCTAAAATTTTAACTGTAAGACAATAATATAACCCTAAGTATTTTTTTCTAATTAAAACTTAATTATGTAAGCTAAACAACTAATATCTCCCAATGTCACACTGTGTTTCTGAGGTGGATTCTGTACCATTGGAGATCAGTAAGAGTCTACTGTTTTCAGTAGACAGCCTCAAACCCAGCTGATTCACAGAACAGCACAGAAAGTTGTTAGCTTATTTGTGACTGTGCATTAGGGCAGCAGCTCATTCTCTTTCTTGTGTGCCGGAGGGAGGTGTATGACAGAACACACAAGTTTCACCTTTAAAAGTTTATCACTTTTCTATATCACAATGAATTGTCAGCAAAGAGTAGACCTACGGAGCAGTATGTTGTCTAGAGCTACACCCCCAGCTATGTCTTTGTCTCACTTTCTGTAAAATGGGTGCTGGAACACCTCCTTATTGCAAAAAGCATAAATTTGGGGATCAAAACCAGTCAAGTGGGTGAAGAGAGACGTGAAGCCACCATCTGGAGGAGTTGCGAAACCTGCGAAGGCTCTTTGTCCTAGGCCACCATAGGAGTAAATGGACTGAAAGTGAAGTGTCACGTATTGAGTGTGTACAAGCTGTGCCTTCCAACAGCAGCTTCCCCGAGGACTGCTCACTCAGCACTGTCCCAGCATCTCCCCAAAATGCTTGTTCTGCTTCTGCCTTACACAGAGAGACCAGTATTGCCAGCGAGGACTAGGCTGCAGTCTTGCCCTTTGCGTGGAAGTATTGCAGAGGTGCCTAGATGAATTTCCTTGTGCTTGTAAACTCTATTTTATATTGGAAAGGTGCAAAGCAAATGCAGGGAGGTGAAATAAAAAAAAAGTACTCCTAAACTGAAAAAAAATTACTTATCGGACAAAAATAATTCCTAACCAGCAAAGGATTTTTCCCCATTAAAATACACTCCAGGAAAGTCAAAATAGGTTATGAGAGACAAACTAAATTGAACAGAAAAAATCCCCAGTTCAGATTTCCATCCAGGTCTGATTACAAGCATGACGTTTGGCAGTTATGGTTGTCTGCCTCTCAGGTAGCCATTGTTAGCCTCTCATCTTCATCAGGAAATGGGGGAAATTGCCCTCAACTTCACCCTTTATTTACTGAAGGTAAGGTTTCACCTTTGTCTGCTGTCCTATTAACATTATAAGCTCTGCAGCTGGGTATTTTGGAGCTGCTTGAGATTTTAGATGGCTTATGAGAAAAGATTTCCAAATCCTTTAAATGAAAACTCTGACCTCATTCTTTTTCTGTGCAGTGCTTAATTCAACCTGAAATTTACTCACAAAAGTTGGGTTTAGACATCTTTTGAAGGAACTGCTATAGAATGAATTTTTTTTGCCACTGCTTAAATATTGTATCCCAGTGCTAGCCTGTTTTGCTTGAGAGCTCTTGCTTCGTTTCAGGAACAGACGCAATGCTTCTTGAAGATTATAGCTCAGATGGCCCTCATGCCCCACACTGCATCTGTCCCCCTCGAAGAAGGAGTTCAGTGACGTTTGAAGATGAAGTAGAGCAAATTAAAGGTGGGTTTGGGGGTAAGTATGGAAATGCTCAGAATCAACTATATTGCGTGCTCAGGAAGCCTTCCAAGACCTTCAGAACTGCCTTAAAACTTATCTGTCCACTGTTCGCCTTGACATACCTGACCATTCATACAGGTACAACAGAAAGTAAGATCAGGTGTTTCTTCCAGTTCTCAAGTAGCAACAGACAAGGACGAGAGTCAGAAGCTGGGATTCCCTCACACATCATTTATCTTGTACAGCTGGATCGTCTCTGCAGCTCCACTCATCTGGTGGCACTTGCAGTCTGTTTTCTGTTTCTCAAGGAATACATTTTCCTGCCCTCATACTTGGATTCTGTTGTCCTGGTGTTTCTCATTTGCTGCCATCCTCTCAACCTTGTCATTCACAGACTTGAAATTCTTCCATTTACAGACTTTAATAGTTTGAATATAATTTCTTTCTGTTTCACTTACTTTTTTACTTAACTTTTACTTCATTTACTTTACTGAATATGTTTCTCAGCAAATATGGGTGAAAATAGATGAACCACATGCACTTTTTTTTCAGTCAACTCACTTGCTGATTCTGTGCTAGCAAAGTGTTGCTGTGATCATCTGTAAAATATGGCAAAGGGAGTTTAATTTAAGCTAATAGTTACAGTAATATGGACTAGAAGACGTGGTTATAACAACTGAATTTACTAAATGATTGTTGACAGTGCAAAAATCACAGAATGGTCAAGGTTGGAAGGGACCTCTGGAGATCATCTAGTCCAACCCCCAAAAATGAGCAGAATGCCTTTAAGAATCAAGTAACAATAAAACCTGACTGATTTTTGTGATTCTGAAATAATGAGAAGACTCTTTCTGTGGAATTTTCGCTTCAAACACCTTGGGAAAATTCATTCTTGCCCTCTTCCCAGTGTGAGCTGATTATTTCCGTGGACAAATACATTACCATACATTTCCTGTTATCTTTCTGAGTGATTATGTAGGGGCAGACATCTATTTTTTTGTGCAGTTCAGTGAAAGAGGGAGGTCTTAGTGCAAAAGTTCCCCAAAGGTTTATCAATTCTCCTTGGTATGTCTCAGGGTTTTCAGGATCTCTGAGATTTTAAATTATTTCAGCAGCCTCATTGAAGGATTACATTTAAGATGAACACCTGTGTTGCCCAACATGTTGGTGGGTGGAGAAGTATATAGATACTACAAAAGCAACTACATCAACACTGAAGAGCAGGTGTATCCAAGGTAACAAAAGGTTAGGAACAAGTATACTACTGTCTGCAACTGCAGTCTTCAGCCTCTCCTGTCATGGAGAGCTCTACAGCTTCCCCTCTGGAAGTCAGTCCCACAGTGTGGCTGGAACCGATTTAAGCTTAAGGACACCAGACTGCTGATTTTAATCACTACTTGGAAGAAGCCCTTGCAATTTGGGGACTGTTAATCCATAAGCATGAAGTCTGGTGTTTGCTGGGCTTAAAATATGTTATAAAATAGCTCTTGAACTGCACTGTTCATGTCAATGAAGTGCGAGATCGTAGTCCAAATGCACTGAGAATCCCTGTAAGGCTGTAAGCTGTGCTTAGAGCAGAGGAAGTACAAATGGAGGGTTCTTTTCCTGTCTTTTGCACGAATTCTTGCCTGATGCCAGACAATTCCCATTGTCCCTAATCCTGGACTCCTGGAAGTAAGCAGAAACCAGGCTGTTGACTTCAGCTGGGTACAAATTCAGTCCCATAAAATCCTCTGTGCGTACGTTCAGATTCTGAAGGTCATTCAACATACACTTAATTCAAAGTTAAACATGTGTATAACCACTTTGCATCATTAGATCTTATTTTTTTCAATTGAATTGGAGGTAATTTTTCTCTGCTTGACCTGTCGAGGTCATGCTGAAGCTTTGTGTTCATAGAATGGTTTAGGAACACCTGGGTATCATCAGTAAATGTGCTCTGTAAGGTAATTTTTCAGAGGGCATGGCCATATCTTTACAAAAGGATCAGTATTAGTCTTCAAGTATTTGTGCAGCCATGCTGATCAACTATTAATTTTCTGATATGTTGCTTTTTTTTTTTTTTCCCAGAAGCTGCAACGAATTCCGTTCTTCATGTAAAAGCCGAAGTCCATAAATCTCTGGACAGTTATGCATCCAGTTTAGCAAAAGCTATTGAAGCTGATGTGAAAATCAGTTTGTTTGGGGAAGATGCTTTGCCAGGAGCTCTGTTCCCTGTGCGGACTCTTCCAGGAAGCAGTATGAACATGCGGCGTGGTATCAGGCCCCATGCTAGCCAGAGACTTCAGTTGCAGAGCATTGATGAAGGGAGTATTTGACAGGAGCACTGGAGTAAGAAAACGGAACGAAACCACTAAGAGGGACCTACTACAGCTGTTTCTGTTTTCACAGAACCAGGATACTGTGTTAGGACACTTTCAGTGTTTTTTCAACACTTGAAAAACAGCTGAATTATGGTACTTACATCAGCATTTTACAGCAATATTTGTTTACTGGTTAGGGTGCTATTGACTTTTTTGTGCCATGTCTTAAATCTGTCACACAGTGCATAGGAATGCAGGGTTTGGTTTCTTGGACCAGATCATTAGTCTGTCGAATCTTGGGTTCATCATTGGCCAAAGCCACTACAGGAATGAAAAAGGAAAAGTATGTGCAGTGTTTAGTTCGTTATTGCATTGGTCCTTTTCTGACCACCAGAATACTCAGTTTATATTTGACAGCTGGAGTGCTTTGATAGGAGTTTGTGCACTACATACAGCCTTACTGTCACAGGCTCCCAAATGATGGAGCATGGACATCACTAAGGGGCAAAATCTGAACTTTTTTGAGAGCTCGTGCAGATTATGGTCCTACTTACTTACGGTCCTTGCTTTTATATTTCTGGATATTTCTGGCTGTTCAGCCATCAGAATGCCAGATCTGAAACTGGATTGTGCATTCTGACACACCAGCTTCTTTGGGTGTAGTGGGTGGAAGCAAACCTGTGCTGGAAATATCAGAGTGATGGTATTTGAGATCATCAATGAAGAGTTCTTAGTTTCTCTGAGAACTTCAATTCACTTCCTGGTTTTGCTTTTACTGAAAGGGCACTCTACAGCTGTGGTAGTCTTGACAGAATATAAATAAGGTATTACCACTTTATATCCAGGATTCATCTTATCTAGAGAGAAAAGTTCTGAGGTTTTGGTGGGGTTTTTTTACTTGTGAGGCAATATAGTATTTAAGCAAGAGTTACCTCAGTGCATATATTTCTTGGAGTCTTAATTCATTAATCTCTAAAATAAGAACATTTGGCACTTATACTGCACTTTGCATGTTCTTAAGCACTGCACAGGCATTACCTTGTTAGGCCTTTGTGAGAGGGTCGATCAGCCCTGCTTGCCAAAGACGGGGAACTCGGCAACTGTCAAGCTGCTGGCAGCGAAACAAGCTGCAAAGGTGGGAAGGTTTGTTACAAAAATAGGGATGAGGTGGATCGTAGGAGAATGCCGGGCTTAAGAAACCTTTCTGTGCCTTCCTGGGCTGGCCCTTGCCATACCTTGTTGGGGGTTACAGCCCTGCCTTACTGCTCATTTCAAAGAGAGGGAGATGTAAGTGAGTACGTTAATTTTTTAGGGTGGGTGTCAGTAGCAAATGGACTTAAGGACCAAGGATTTGTATTTACTTACTCTGTGCCTGCTCCCCCTGCCTCCACCTTTTCCCCAGCTGTGGTTTGTATGAGTTTTTGCTGCAGACTGTTTGGAAATCGAGGGCAGGATGTTTCCATCTGGGCAAAACCTGGGTGTACGCCTGCTAAATTATGGCTGTGTGCGACTTAGTTGGAGGCACGCAAACAAACTGTTTTTGAGGCAGAGCCTCGGTCCGGTACTGTATTTAGACATCCTATTTGTCTGTGTTCCCAACTCAGAAGTACAGTTTAGCACAAGCTTATGTCCATCTCTGGACAAAGCAGCTTGACTTTATGAACTAGCTTGAATCCCATTACATTCCCGTGTAAGATTTAACTGCATGCTTAAAATTCAGTACATGGTTTGCTGATTAAGAACAGGCTGTTACAGCAAGAACACAAGCACCAGTAAGATGGCTCTTTGCATAACGCAGGAATGAAACAACTAATAATAGCGAGGTCCTCAGCTGCTGTATTTTGTGCTTCTAGTGTGTTAAATACATTCACACCTGTGGGCACTCATTAAAAAAAAAAAAAATTAAAAATCCGAGTGTTTGCCAGGAAGTGCCCTACACTAAGGTCATTATGGCTATCGTTAATGTTACAATCACAGTTGCTCATAGTACTCAGCACTCCTTAAGGTATACACTTGTCTCAGGTGCCTTGGAGTATTTTATCTGCATCCCTTTTATTTTATATTCCTGCTTCAAAACAAGCTGAGCAAAGTTGTCCCTGAATGTGAAAAGGGCACAGGTGAGTATGAGTTCATTGTGGTGATGAAGTCGGTGGAATGCCTAAATGGTGTATGTTTAGGAGGAAAAAATTCCCAGGCACGCAGGAGAGAGCAGAACTGTTAGTATTGTGTAAAACACGTTTTTCAGGCAGGCACTGAGCCCGGTTCCGCCTTCGGGCAGGTCCGTGGAGTTGCATCTCTTTATACCGCGACTGAATTTGGCTGTCAGTGTTAATTTCACTAATCTTGTTATTTAGTGTAAATGTTGTTAATATTTTTGTACACACATTATAACCTTTCCATAAGTCTGTTATTACCAGAGTCGTTATCTCACTTGAATTGTCATTAGCAAAAGCAGTAATTAAGAAATGCACACGTTTTGTAAAACTGTATTCCCCATCTTAAATACAAAAGAAAAAAAAAAACATTTCCAGCTTCTAATGGTCCATGGTGTTTGTTTATACTACTCTTATTTCATGTTATTTCAACTTAAAATTATTTCCAAAATATTTTTCTTTTAAAAGTATATCAAGCTTAATGGCTGAACCCGGCAGCAGTGCCACCGGGAGCCGTTTCCCGAGTACAGGCAGGCATCCCGGCCGAAGACTGGCCTTTTCCCACCAGGCCGGTCACCGCAGTGACCCCGAGGCAGGGCCATGTGACAACGGGAACCGGGGGAACCGGGCAAGCCCGCGCCGCC